GTGCTGTTGAAGGTGCATTGACAGGGCAGGGGGGCTTGACAACTACATCTTGCACACACCAGAGCGTCAGCTAAACTCTGACTTTGCGACCAAGCTCAGGGTGGAGCTTTTGCGGGCACTCAGGCCCAGCAATCCATCCAATAAGAAAATAGCCCAAAGCAGCGTGGAAGGGGGGCAACCAGCTGCCCCCAAGTCGGGGGAACAGACAGGAGCGTTGGCAAGCTAATGAGCAACCACGTGATTAGTAAGCATTCAATATGAGTGAATGATACCTGGTTGCAATGTAAATTGCATTTCAAATCTGCAAGGTTGGCTGTGCATTTCCACAATATTCTTGCTGAATGATGTATATGCACTTGTGTGAATCGCTCCTTGGCTGTGACCCGGTGCCCAATCGCTGCTCGTTTCATCCGTTAACGTTATGTGCAGCAATGCTGCTGCAGAGTGGACATGGCCACAGCTGCTGTGTTGTTGTGCTGGGTTCTGCCTTTCCATGTGCTGCTTGAAATATTATGTTTGACTGCATTTTGAGCACTCAACGCGGATTCCATATCCTTAAGGACGTTTTCTGAATGTTGCACTTGTGTTCTGTGATAAGATGGAATGGCAACAAGCAGACAGGTGGCTTCTCACCAGAGGTCAGAAAATGCTTTTGTTCATGCACTGCAGTCACACAGAACCACAGCTTAGCTGTGATGTTAGCGGCGTGGGCCTACCTCAAGGAACTATCACTCACAGCACTGAAAATGGTGTACAAAATGTAGACTCTTGAAAGAGCCTTTGTTTCATACCAGTCGCCCTTGGCCCAGAACCTGATTTTCTGCACCCCTGAGAACTACAGCGCCCTGCATAGCCACGGGCCATCCACAACCAGTCTGGCGAAGGACGGCAGCAAAAAGCGACTGGGGACCGGTGGCCAACTGGACGTCAGGTCGCATGGACCACCATACTGTGTAGATCGTGAGCCAAAACCACTACCTGCTGGCGTTTGCACACATGTGTGCTGTGCAGTCGAGCATGAGGCAGTTCAGCTACAGTTTACCAAATTGAGCATGCTACTGGGCAATCCAGCGAAGGGCCCACAATCGGGGCAACATATAGGCACAGCAAGAGATGCGTATAGCAGCTAAGATGAAACTTTGATACGCCTTTCTGACTCTTTGATTGGGTAGTCATTGGCAGACATGTCCCGGCGCCGCATCAAACCATCGTCATTGAACTCCCAAAATTCGTTGCCATGAGTACGGTACCACTGGCCACTTTCATCGTGCCACTCGTATTCGAAACGGACACCAATGCGGTTGCCTTGGTAGCACCAGAGCTCCTTCATCAGCCTGCGGCAGGAAATGCTCGTCAGCGTGACTTCGCAAATGCAGCATGTCCAGAGCTAGGAAGTCTCTTTGACTGCATCCATCATTTTCTGTATTGGTGGAGATGTCGATATTGACAAAACATGTGCACTCCCATCTTTCAAGATGTCGGGCATGGCGCCGTTCTCAACATATGACCTACAATCCCGGAGACGAAACTGGGGTACAAATTTAGACATATTGAACGCAGTTTTGTCCTCGGCTCATCTGTGCACGGTGGTTCGTTCGCTTTACTGCCATTCTCATGCGGGCGCTTTCATTGTCGGCGTCATCGTTGCTGCTATGAAAATTTCGAGATGCCGGAGTCTTCTAATCTTGCGCCAAAATCCTGGCGGATTCAACAACTTGGAGCGAGAGCAGCTACGCATTTCAAGCAGCAATTGTGTCACACTCAACCACCTTTGCCATAAGCAATACCTCGACGAGGCTAAAGGCGTGCCCCGCGCACACTGTTCCAGATTCAATTATCCCATTGCCATGACTCACTTGTAATCCAGCTCCTTCTTCCACTTCCGCGTGAGGAATTCAACAATTGCCTCCCTTCCCTTGAAAAACTCGGTCCTGTTCCGCCAGTCCGAATCTGGAGGCAAAAAGACAATCACACATGAAATGAGGCCAAAGACGCGGACTTCAGCGCCAGTCACTGCCAATGCGGGCGCCTGGTGAGGTGGGCGAGAACATTGGCCAGTCGTCGCACGCCAACCGATTGCTGCATCTAAACTCGCTCATGAAGTGCAGACGATCAACAAAGGCATGAAATTAGTCACTCAGCCATTTTCGTGATTGGCGATTCTTGTTTCGACACCCAGACCCTAAACCACTGACCCACTGACCCACGTTGGCCTCGTCAGCAGCGAAGAGGGGATCTTCGAGAAAAGGAAGTGGGGACTAATATATTCTCATCAACAAACGCCACACTCGAGTCGAGTGACTCAACGCCGTGAACACACAATGACTGCACGCCACTGAAGGGGCATCACCGCGCCCAAGAGCACGCTTCGTCGCGCTGGCGTCGAGGCGCGGGCAGCACGGCGCCCAGGGCCGAACCGGAGGTGCGCGGAGAGTCCCCAAGTCGGCGGCGTGCAGGCGAGCCACCACAGAACGAGGCATTTGCATTGCATTGCGCACATGGCGACTGCCCTTGCCCTACCGAATCCACGGCGCACGGGGCACGGGCCCCTCCGGCTGGCACAAACCTTTCGTGTACGCTTTGGAGACCTTGTGCGGGTCGCGGCTGTTCCACCCGTCCTCCGCCATCTGCACCTTCAGTTTCGCGGTCTCCTCCGTGAAGGGCGGGAACGGCGGACGCCGCTCGTCGGCCGTGGCGGCATCCATTGACGACCAGCGAAGGGTCAGGCGGGAGAGATGGGAGGTAACAGCGGGAGACAGGTTGGCGGTGGAGGACTGAAGACCGCGGCGGAGGGCCATGGTCGAGGGACTTATGCGTCCCCGGCGGTCGCAGTTCCGCTCTTGAGCGCTGTGACGTTGTGCATGGCGTGAGGGGAGCACCTGCGCTGCCATTGGTCGGGGATGCGGGTAATTGATGCCATGAACGCCGCAGGCCGATTACGGAACCATCGCTGCTGGCTAATCCACGTGACGCGTTAATTTCATTAATTTCGTTCGTGAAGAACGCGAGGCAAAAAGATACCAGTGCACCTTGGGGGGGATAATGGACTCTGCAGCATAAAAAAAAGCCTTGGTCGCCAAATTTCATGTTGCATCAACTTTCCGCGCAAAGTTTGTTCGCCAGAAGGCGCCAGTTGGTCTTCAATTCGCACAGGTCGGGGTGTTCCGCCCTCAAAAGAGCAAACCGCAGACAAGTGGGCAATTATGTCCCATGCCCAGAGATGCTTGCGCAGTGTCCCTGGAAAATGCCTCAGTACAGAAGGTTGACGTTGGGCGACTCTTTCAAGGTCCTGCGGGTGAAATGACAATCAGTCGAATCCAGGAGCAAAGGTATACAGCTTGCCATCCTGTTCTGAGTAACCGAGTACAGGGAAATGGTGCAGGCATTGTGCTCAAGAAGCGCTCTGGTGGAACAGACGTCAAAGGTGCATCAACACATGTTCCGGATTACACAGCATATGGACGGAAACTTACACAATCTGAGTCAGTCGGGTTCGCAAGCACTGCACAGACATGCTGACGTATTAGACACCTCTGGCGAATGCGCGCTTCTCCTTGGAGGTGTTGAAAAACAACAGTGTCGATGATCCATCTTTATTGTCGTTGCCGTATCACATCTCTCGACGGTTGGCAATTTGACCATCGGTTTTGGACAGTATTGAATGTTGTGTGCTGCCTGAAAGGCAGTGCCTACAAAGGCACAAAGGGTGCCGAATCAGCGGCAGCGTGCGCGTGTACGTGCAGTGGATCGCAATTGAGCCAATCCGCGGCTGCCGCCCGGCAATGCTGTCCGTCCGTCCCAACTTGTCCACTTCCTTTGTCATGCGCATAGGCTGGCTGGTAGGAGCCCATGGTGACGGTCATGATGGTGTTTGCATGACGCAATATTGCTACGGTGAATGCCAATAGTATTATGGGCATGCCCCCTCCACTCCGCATGCGAGTACTAGAACAGACTGATGACACTGGTCCAAGTGATATTTGGGGATGACGATGTGTAGACTTTGTCACACTTGGTGCCAAACTGAACGCGGATCTGGGTAGCACAATACCTGTATCGTTCTACCCAGAATTTCCGCAGGTAGCTGCCAAGCGAAAGGACCCCGCAGTTGCCACAATTCCGACAAAAGCTACGGTCCAGGCCGCCCTTCTTTGGTGGTTGAATGCTCAGGGGAGTTCTTCAAACAAGCGAAGCCACTTATCTCGACAGGCAGCTTCCAAGGCTGTCTCTACCACCTGCCATCGCTTCAAGCATGCCATATTTCAGCCCGACGTAATCGCTGCAACGCCAGCTGACTGCCCAAACGGAAAACGTCTTCGCCTTTCCACAACGTTCTCAAGGGCTTTGTGCTCCGCTCGTCCTCCAAAATCGCCACACTGTGCTTTCGAATCGAAGCCACCCAAGTCCCCGCCGTTTCCACATTCACATCCACGAAACTGCCAGGTGGGGGTCACAATTCACGGAGCTCTTGAGCACTCAAGTCCAACGCCGTTCCCAAGCTGCATGTCCCACACGCTCTGCCATCGCATTTCGCAAGTTGTGTCCTTGCTCCGCTGTGCAAGCCACGTGGTCCTGGGGCAACTGGCGGTGTGCCCGGTGCGCCCCTCAAATGGATTTGCGGGGTGCCACACTCGCTGTTCGGTGAAATGCTGTGTCACCCTATTTGGTAAAGTTGTTGAGCATTGGACGCCAAAGGCGGGGGAGAAGGGGGCAGCTGTGCTCAGTGTCAGTAGGATGTCAATCGAGGCGAAATCGAGATATTTCCGGCCCCAGAGTACATGTCCGATGCTTCAATGCTTGATCTTTGCTCCAGCCCCACTCTGGCGCTGGCTTTCGTACTGTTGCAAAGAGCAGAAGGGCCCCAAGCATTTTTGCAAGGACGAGGGCGCTCCTTTGTATGCTGTGGTTTTGGGATCTTGAAGCACGGTCAGCAACACGCATGAACAAGAATGGGCAAGACACATGTTGGGCGCGGGAATGCAAATACCCCAAAAACATCATTACACCATTTCAGCTACGTACTCCCCTATGGCTAGAGCACCAGTCAGCCCAGGCGATTCTATCCCGTACATATTCACCAACCCCCATATTCCATGAACTTTGTGGTCATGGATCACAAAATCGCCAGGGGCCTCCTCGGGGCCAACAACCTTGGGCCGAATACCGGCATAGTCGGGCTGCAGAGACCCGTGGGGTAGAGCAGGGTAGTACGTTCTGATGGCCGTCTCAAACCCCTCAGCCAGCTGTGGGTCCACCTGCGACAGGTGAAAGGGAGTGCATTGAGTCTGTGGTGGGGCCATTGGCCAGTCTATTCAGACATCTCACGGCACTCCAAATGGAAGTCAACAGTGATGCTCAGAGGCTGCTGCACATCAAACCATCCTATCACAAGGATGAGCATTACCATGACACCAAGTTTCAAACGCATATATCGATTCAGCGTACTCTGGGAAGTCAAATTCCAATTGGCAATGTGCTCCAACAGCCACATGGACACGCATCGGTAAAAGCTCTGATTCTAGCAAGACGGCCAGGCCCTCCACATACCGTGTAGTCAAGGCTCTGGACCCATTCAACGTTGGGTCCAAACCTGGCGCGGCCATTCATATCCAGCGTGAGGTGAACGCCCAGGCCTCCATCCTCAGGCAGTGGATAAACGAGGCGACTGCATGGCGAGAGGCCTTGCAAAGAGAAGTAGCAACCACGAGCATAGAACTGCCTGGGGATGCTGGTTTTGGGGACGCCCAATGCATGGGAGGTCTCCCAGGCATGCAAACCTGGCAGAGTGGGCACATCGATGTTAGTGCACATCCCAGAAGAGCGTCCATGGTTGCCTTGTGACTGTGCCACCACATGTACCAACCAGCAAAATGCAAGATTCAAGCAAATTTGATCACATCTCAATATCTGGCCCCATTGGAGTTTGTTTGTTGCCTCATCTCTGCCTATCCAAGTCCAGAGCAATGTGCTGAGAAAGCAGCAAAGCATCTGGGAGCTCCAACTTAAGGTATTTGATGTTCAGCAACTAAAATCGCACTTTCTATTCGAGACAATTAACTGGATGTGCCGCCTGAGCAAACTTGGCCCATTTGACGTCTTCAAGAATGTGTGCAGGTGCCATGCAAATCTATGCAAGTACTACTCCCACATTCAATACCCAGCAGCAGAAAAAACATAGGACCATAGCTTTGCTATTTTCAAGGCAGAACAGAATGCAGCCACCTGTTGAATTAACCACTGAGTCTGCAATCAGGGTCGTCTTCTTCCCTGTGTTGACATCCAGCACTTGCAGCTCCTTTGTGAATCCTGACAAGTCGCCCCCAACCACCTTGCTCCCGAACGAAATTATCCCACCCATGACCTCAACATCTCCCTGAAGTGATTCCATCAATCTGCCAGCAAACGAACAAACTCAGGCAGATGTAATTAGCAGGCATCTGTCAGTCACCTTAACAGTAGCCATACAGAAAGGATCACCCCCAACAATTGAATCTGAAGGGCAAGCAGGTGCCCCGGACTCAGTTTGAGAGCGTTGGCCTGTAGTTCATTGAACAAGGCACTATACAAGTGTGGTGGAATTGACTCCAGTATTGTGGTTATGCAGAAAAAGTGCTCCAGCCTGATGCGGAAGCATGCAGGTGATGCATGCATTATGCAAAAGTTCCATACGCAGGGGGGCCTGGGCAACGAGAACGCTGTGCTTGTGTTGCAAGTAACTATCCACAGCTCTTAAGAATCGTCTTCCAACAGCATCTTTGAGTGCCTATACCCTGCAACTGGGGAGTGAGCCATGTGAGAGGGCACGATGAGCCCAGGTGGCGCCCTAGAAAAAACCATCACAGGAGCATCAGTTTCACTGTCAAAGACAGGATTGTATGGCTGGTGTGCTCACCGGTGGCTGTCCACAATCCCTGTAGAGGGGGAGTGCACTGCACCGATGCATGACAGCTCTGGCTCAAGCTCCCTGACTGCTGCTTTGTCGAGTTGCTCCAAATCGTGGACGCCATTCTTTTTTGCTTGCTGAACTAGTTCAGTCAGGGCATTGATCTGTCTGCACTGCAAATGGCAAACAACACACGGCAACTAAATCCAACGCCCCTGCAAATCGTTTGAAAACCAACCCAAGTGGTCCGCCTGGCACCATTGCTGATGCTGCAGTCAGAAATTCAACCAAGCAGGTGTGCCTGCGTGGCCGCGCTGCTTTAACCGAGAGTGAATATCATGCAAGCGCCTGCAGAAAAGCGGGCACAGGAAGAAGGCTGCCCTCTTCGTATGCACACAACTCACTGCATTGTGCATTCATTGTGCTCACCCAATGCAGCTGAGACCTTGATCTCGACCTCAAGGTGGCCTTGCTGACTTCGATTTTTGGCCATTACAGGCCTGAGAAAACAATGCTGACAAAAGTCCAAATTGCATGCATTCTGGTTCTCGCTACAGCCATGAGTGCCTTTCACAGAAGAACACCAAAGCCCATGAGCATTGCAAGTGAATTGTGTTCACTGCCATTCTTCATATTCATTGCCTCCCTCCTGCAATTCTGACCTCACAACGATGAATTTGATATCTGCAACAACATTCATCCCATTCATCTGTTTTCTGATCCTCCTTTCATTCCTATGAAATTTGTTTGCGTCCTATTTCTGTCTTGTTCATTTCACCACTGTTTTTACGTTGTGTGAGCAGCTTGCTTGAGGGAGCACTGAGCCATCAGCGGACAGACATACAATACGGATGAATGTGTCCTTGACATCGGTTGCAAATTGCAAAGGCATTGTGATGCACCGCAAATTCGACATTCCATTCAATCATCCATTCACAGCCAGCCCCATCAGATCACATTCTCAGCCTATGATTGTCAGATGCTAGGAATCACCTGCTGTCAGTTGCCACAATAAGCTTGCCCAGCCTTTTGTGTGGTATTCCATGTTGTTCACAATACTTGTACAGCATGGCTTTCCCTTGGACACACATAACCGCCTTGAGAGACTCTGTGGGGTAGTAGAGGCCTGCATGAATGACTGCACAATTAACACACAATGACAGTGAGATGTTGAAAATACCCAAGTCGAAAATAAAAACTCCACAAATTCAATGGCAGTCCTGCAGTAGGAGAATCCTCACTGTGTTTTGGACTACTGCACTTGCTTTTCTGCTGGCAAGTTTAGCAATTGTCACGAACCTGTTCTTGACTGCAAACGATTGAAACTGGCTCAACAGAACACACTAGACTTCTGAATACCCAATTCGCCAGAGAAACAGCAAACAGCGGTGGTTCCTATGATGGTCCAAATGAACACCCACATAAATACTGGCTCTCTGCCATTTAAGATTCGGCAGTAACTGTTGGGTGGCAATCCTTTTCACCCAGCACCTGAAAGATCTAAAGTTGTACAAGCCAACCTGGTGGAAGACAATCTTACACCTTGTAGCCTTGTGTGACAATGGCCGCCCGATTTGTGGCTTTGGGCTTGCCAACGTCGAAAGAATGCTCAACATTGTTGATCTGCCACCTGAATCCACCCATTGGCAGCATGCACAACAATGATAAGGAGTGCTTGCTGCACCAGCAGCTTTGCTCAAGACACGGTGCTGTTCACTGCACCTTCGCTATTCCTTGATGACGTCTCTGTGCCAACACTCTTGGCTGCTTCTTCAAGCAGCACGACTTCACGATCCTGCTGCAGAAGGCTCCTTGCAACAGCAAGACCAACAACACCTGCAGCCGAAAATTTCGCATCCCTTTGCTTGCGTAACATCAAGAACTATTTGCAGTGATACTGGATCACATGTGACTTCTTTGGTGTGTCTTCCTGCATCTCTGTTCTGTCCATATCTCAACAAACAACGCTTCGGACTGTGCTGCAGGCGCACTCCAGGATTTCGGAACTGATCAAAGGGCGCCATTGTCTGCAATGTTAGCTCTCCAATTCGAATCATATGTCTTCGCTTAGTAGAACACGTTTGCAACACATGGACGCTGTCAAGATGAGCATATTGTTGTTCACGTCAATTTACATCCTGGCATTGCAGTATCTTGACCATGTCAAAGGGCGAAGCAGCGACTACGGACTAACTATGAATCCCTTGGATGCCAGGGACTGGGAGTGGCTCCGTCCCAGCAAGTCATTGATTAATTGAACGCAGATCCAAGCGCCCCGCGGAACGCCCCACGGAAGCGCCCGATCCTGCGCAAGCAGCAGTTCTACCAGAATGCTTCAGGCACACCCACACAGGCACTATGATGCCACGTTCTGAGGGCTTAATGGTTCCCAAATTATCACGCGCAACGTGTGTGCAGCGGCCCTCCACTCGCTGGGCACTCACCCCCTCCGATCACTGCGCATTCGACTTGATTGGCTTCCGTGGACAGTCCCGAATACCCTGGCCCTGCCTGATATTGGCACGCAGCGAAGCGGCTATGGGCCTCGCGTGTCGCCGGCACTATCCAGCGGCAGAGGCGACGGGCAAGCCGCAGAGCCATTCGGCCATGGTCGCTGCCCCGCCCTCAACCGCCCATTTCCGTTGACCGGGGGGCTGTTCGGCACACTGCAAAATGGCAAACAGTTTAAGCCATCTTTGCAGAAATTATGAACAAAATGAGCTGTATTTGATACAACGAAAAGAAATGGTTTGACAGCTCAAAAGGAGAAAAACAAAGTTCAGTGTGAAGAAAAAACATGTGCATCCCGTTTTCAACTTGGGAGACATGTTAAAAACATGTTTAATCACTCAGGGCCAATAGTTTAGTATTAGTACAGGTGGAAAGCAAGGAAAAGGACGGAATGCACAGCTACCGTATGGTGACAACCCGCAGCACCAGTTCGAGCTGCGTGGGAATCGTGTTACACCACTAACAAGGCCGCGGACCACACGCTGAGTACCCCAGCATCGGTTGTGTGACGGTGAGGGGTTACCCTGGAAACCATTGTGTGACCGGAAAGCGTGACCATTGGGCCTGCCAGCTGTGGTCTTTCCGTGCTGCAGCATGGCCGCGGGCCACAGACTATTGGCCCACTACACGCTTGCCCATGAAGCCGACCGAATGGTGACCAACGCGAACGAGGGCGCACTCCCTTTGGAGTGGTGGCGCAGTGCCCTCTGCGCCGAGGTGGCGAAGGCGGGCGCAACCCTTGCACTCTTCAGCACCGGCCTTTCGCATGAAGGTGACCGGAAATGGAAGGTGCACGCCATCCTCCATTGGAAGGCGCTGCGGATTGCAAAGGCGGAGGAGCGAATGGCGGGCCAGTTGGGAGGCCGAACGGTCGAGAGGGATAGCGCGAAGGAGGCGAGCACGGAAAAGGATGCGCGCAACCAGGAAAGTGGGAGCATAGCAAAGCGGATGGATGGCCCCAACCCATCCGATCTCAAGAATCGAGTTGTGTGCCACGACGGGACGCAATCGCTGCCGGCGACCGAGTAGCTTGGAGCGTGCTCGGTGGAGGAGCAGGCTGCCGGCCTAAGTGGGGAAGCCTACCTCGAGGCAGTCGCGCAATTAGAGGTGGCCCCCTCTGTCCGTCCACAACAGAATTTGGTTAGCTCGTTAAAATTCTGTACAGTCAACGGAATCCGTGAGCGGGCCACAGATAGAGAAACTGTCTAACAGAAACGGGCGGGGCCATGCTGACATCAGCTGTTGTGGTGTGGTTTCCGGCCGGGACGGACGCCCCTCGCTGTCGCCCAATCGCCGCGGATCCCGCGGCTTCAAGCCGGGTACCCCGCGGCCCCACGCCGGAATCGGCGTGTTCGATCGGGGCGCTCGCTCCTCCGGTCTCGTGTGGTGGGCCCTGGTCACTGAACCGATGGCCTGGGTGCTGCTAGGGACGGATGGACCGGCGGCACGGTGTGCACTCGCGTGCAGTGGTTAGACGCGCAAGGAAACAGGTGCAGAACGGGTTACAGGGTCCCGCGGACTGCGCAGGACTCAAAACACATTGCGCAAGCTGACTCACCCTACATTGGGTGAGCCAGGACACCATACAAAAATACACATAGCTCGCGCAATCATGCTCGCTCGAGTGGTGCACATGCACAGACATTTCAGCTGCAATCCATTTGCCAAATTGCAGGAGACTTGCAACACCTAGCATGCCTTGCATGTTAATCCCAAAACCACCCACCCACAACCATTTTCTTCCAAACAAGAGTGAGTGCCAAAATGCGCTCCAAGGCGCCTGTCCTAAGGACGTTAGCACACTTTTCTCAAGTGAAAGGCAATCGACCCGTCGGGTCGATCGCCACAAACACAATTTTCAAACTTGACCCTCCCTCCCCCCAACCCCACACCACTCGCCTCCAATCGGTGGCCAAGAAGGCACCTCAAAGCGCTGCAGCGAGGCCGCCAAGCCTCTTTGAGGTGAAAGACCATGGCGATTGACTCATCGCCGTGGACGGAATTTTCAAACTTCACGTGAACCAACCCGCCCCCCACCCCTCTAAAACCGCCATTCGTTCTAGTCTATGGCCAAGAGGCGCCAAGAGGCACCTCAAAGTGGCCGCCCAGATTGCTCGAAGTGAACATCGCATCGAGCCACCAATTGCGTCAATCGCCTCATGTTACGTATAGGATGTGGGTGTGGGGTTCCTGCCCTCTTTGAGCCACGGACCCGCCTCGCCGGGCACCTAGGTCCTTACAGGGCACCTAGGCGGGACCACCCCTCCTACTCCCGTATCCTAATATGGATAAAGGTTACATTGGGTGAGGAATAGTACGTGCCTTGGGCAGGGCGTCCCCCACACCAAGGGCCATTAGTAGGACGTCTCCCACATCAGGCTGGTGCGCGTAACATTCGTCCCCCTCAGGGAGAGGGGCGTCCTCGTCCCAATATAAGTGAATACGGGAGCAGAAACATTGTATTATGTTGGTGGAACTGGCTGTGCGATTTGCCACATGCCCAGTTAACAAAACACAACACACAAAACAATTTTGGATGAAGAGAAAGAGTGGTTGTTTTACATGACCGTCCCGGCCTTTACAACCCTCATTAAAACTCTTCCTCAGCCAAGTGGCTGGAAATGTTTGACCTCCCGGCCTTTCATCGGCGACCACGATGCCGAGTACCACCAAAAGCCCACGCCGGTCCAGATCGGCCCGGTGCGGCACCCCGCCGTCGCCCACGTCCGCGTGCACGCTCAGGCGCACGGGGAAATGGCACGTAGGGGTCGGCGGTGTCCAACCTCTCCCCGTTGAGGATGTTCACTGACATGGCGTTCATGTGGGCGAACTGTGTCCTCGCACGGGGGGCAGTATACCCAGTGTTTTTCTGGGCCCAGCGCAAGAGAACCTGTCAAAAGCATAAGCACACATGAGCATGTTTCAGTATGTACATCCCGTACTTCATGCAGTTTGCATTCGCATCACAGGTGTTCTGCCATTTTCAAATGCTTGAACCAATTCCTGTGCATTTGCAACTGACTTTGCTGATTCCCAGCTGTTATGCTCATGTCCATATCCTAGCCATTTGACAAGGTACTCAACATAGTTTTTGCGTCTCCCATGCTTTTTAATCCTTTTATCAAGGATACGTTCAACTTCATACTCCAGTTCACCTTCGATCTCGATAGGTACTGGGGGTGGCTGTACTCTGCCACTTGCCTTATAAGGCTTAATCTTCGATACATGAAATACTGGATGTATCCTATGCATGCTTTCCGGGAGTTCTAGTCGATATGCGACAGAACCTATCCGGTCGAGGATGGCGAAGGGCCCAATCCACCTCGGTAATAGTTTTCGAGTTCCAGGGTGTTTGAGAGTAATATGCTGTGTCGAAAGGAGGACGCCATCTCCTTTACTAAACGACACCTCTCTCCGATGGCGGTCAGCATGCTTTGACTGCCTATCTTGTGCTTTCTCTAAGCACGCCCTGGCCTCTTTCAGCGCTGATTGGACACGGTGATCAAATCGTGTCACTGCTGGTAATCCCTCCACGAGGGGTGTACCAGACTGCCTCAAATAAGGCTGCTGCGCCCTTTCAACGGCCACTGCCAAGCCGCGGGCATTCGGATTGTCATAGCCCTTTAATGGCTTCCGAATTTGCACACCAAGAGCTAAGGGACTCTTTGGGTGCCTCCCGTAATTCAGATAGAACGGGGTTTCTTGGGTGGAACTGTTTTTCAAGTTGTTCATTGCAAACTCGGCCATGGCTAACAGTTCATCCCACGCGTCATGGTCAGAACGCGTATAACTGCGTAAGTAATCCTCCAAAACCCGATTCATGACTTCGGTCTGGCCATCCGTCTGTGGATGGTACGCAGTGCTCATGTTGAGCTGGATCTTCCACCTCTCGGCCAGGTACCGGTAAAACCTGGAAGTGAACCTAACGTCTCTGTCGGACACTATCTGAGAGGGGAGGCCGTGGTGCCTTATCACATTCTGCACCAACAGGTCAGCTGCTCCTTCTGCGGAGAGCTCGGTGGTCGTAGCTGCAAGGCGGACCATTTTGGTCAGTCTATCGACGAACACGATGATAGCATCATGACCTCCCTTAGTTTTTGGCAGTTGTGTAATGAGGTCCATGGACAACTCTGTCCATGGCTCCTCAGGAATGCCCAGTGGCTGTAATAAGCCTGGGGTCTTATGACGAGGGTACTTAACCTGTTGACAAACCAGGCAAGTATCGACGTACTGGTGTACTTCTCGTCGCATTCCTGGCCACCAGTAATGCCGCTGGATCAAGTCCAGGGTCTTGGCTTGACCAAAGTGTCCAGCACTTTGATGGTCATGAGCCAACTGGCAGATCTCAGTCCGCAGACTGGGAGACTCAGGGATATACACCTGAGTGCCTCGCAGCCACAACCCGTCTGTACAGCGCATATCTTGCTGCTGTCTAACAGACGCAAGCTGGGGATCCTCGCCATAGGCCCGACGGATCCTGGAGGCTAGATCTTTGGCCTCTACCGTTTCAGTTGCCTCTTTTTGGCTGCCCCGCTTATGTTTTACTCTTAAGCCACATACAACTAGTTGACTTTTCCTCTTAGCCTCCTCCTCATCGGGCGATGGAGGAATGCGAGAGAGTGGATCAGCCACATTCTTTCGCCCTGGGCGGTATTCCCAGTCAAAGTCAAACTGTTGTAAGATTTCTGACCACCTGGCCTGTCTGCGGCTCAGTTGTGGTTGTGACTTAAGGTAGGTCAACGGACAATGGTCCGTTACCAGCTTGAAGCATGTTCCTTCAAGGTAACATCTCCACAACTGGACAGCATGGACCGAAGCTAAAGCTTCCTGGTCTGTCACGCTGTAGTTCAACTCCGCTGGGAGGAACTTTCGACTCGCATAACAAATAGGGTGATTGTCCCGCATCAGGACCGCCCCCACAGCAGTTTGTGAGGCATCGGCGATGACCTCAAATGGTCTCTCAGGATCTGGCATTTTGAGCAAAGGAGCCGTGGTCAAACACTCCTTGATGTGCTCAAATGTTGACTGACATTTCGACGTCCACTCCCACTTGCCATTCTGTTTGGTCAAGTCTGTCAATGGAGTCGCCA